TATGATACAAGCCCTCTTTTACAATCAACTTTTCTAGCTTAATTTTCTTTAAAGGTTTGTTTAAGAGACTTGCTATCATTTTCTCTTGGGCATTGTATATTATTTCACATCTCATATTAATTTTCTCGTTTATCTCTTTTCGTGTTGCAGCCTCTAATTCTCTTTGGTTTTTTTCTTTAAGAATTTTCTACCAACTCTTAAAATCTTCTAATAAGTCCTCAGACCATTTATCTTTAACTTCCTAGATATCTATTTGGAACTTTTTATTGATTTTCTTTATCTCTCGATTAAATAATTCCTTTTCTTCTGGGTCTAGCATTATGTTGATTTGTTTTTTTAACTTTCCGTAACCATCTACTGAGTGTTACTACTACTTTGTGCAGTCTAGATCATCTTACTTCTTGCCTTTTGATATGTTCTACATTAGGGAGTTTTTTCTTTGAGATAGCTTTATTTGCTGCTTCTATAATATTTCTTTCTAGAACACTCCAGCACTTATTCAGGTTATCTAATACTAGTGTTTTATTTCTTGTTGCTAAACTTAGTTTCTAAAAAGCTGTCTCTTTGTTTTTAAGCATTTTATCTAATTCTACTTTATAGTTCTCCTAGTCATCTTCACTTGCTTCATTATATAAAAAAATTGTTCTTTTTTAACTCTTTCTTTTGGCACTCGCTGAGCTAGCTTTTGATATAAAAGAGCTAAGATCCAATAGCACATCAATACTATTATGATTACTCTCTGTGCACGTAGACATATCTATAATATTGGCCACCTGTAAGCTACCTATTAGTATTTCTGAAACCCAAATTTGGTCAATTCGTGTTTTCATATGACCATTTGACCAAGTAAACTCAGATACTATTGGGCTTAATACTCAGAAGATGTCTGCAAAATTTTGTTTAATCAGCCAATTATGCAATGGATCTATTTTTAGCTTTTTGCCTTGTAATGGTGAAGTCCTATCAAGATCCTGATCAATGATTGTATTAAAATCTCTCATAATAGCGATGTGTGAGTTAAGTGATCTTTTCATAAATTTTTCTATAATGTTTCTCCTTATGACTTGTTTTTTGCTATTATCATTCAGTGGTATATATATTACTATAATGACTACTTCTAGTTGCTTAAAAAGAAAGCTTGCTACCAAACTGAATTTATCAAATCTCTGAATAAACCCTAAATGTTTTTTCTATTTTTCTGATATTATAAGACCTACACCTGAACCTTTTTTCTTTTCTTAATAAGCACTTGACCATACTATATGATAACCTTTAAATGGCTTGCTTAGAAAAAACCCTTCTTTTTCTGAAATATTCATTTTGACTAACCCCACTATATCATATGTGTTTTCTATTGTCCAATCTATTAATAAATCAAACTTTTGTGAATTGCCCTTAAGCCTATTAATATTATGGCATGCTATATTAAAGCCAAATAGTGTTCTTTTTTAATCAGTTCTACTATTGTTCTTTCTAGCTCTTTTTGATCTTTATATATTTTTTTACTTATGTTATTAGTATGCAGGGAGCTAGACCTGCTTTTGGCTTGGTGGATATCTGCGACAACTTTCAGAAACGGTTGGGAGCTAATGCCCCTGATAAGAGAATTGATTCATAATCTTTTTTAATTTTTGAAAGCTTTTTAAGGATCTCCACCAAAGCCTTATGCTGTGTAAAGTTGTCTGCTTGTGGCTTAGTCCTCTCATTGTCTTCTTTTTTTCTGGGCTTAGTATTAATATATGGGGACCCCCACAGCAAAAGGGTGCATTGGGACAAAAATTTTAATTTTGTAATTTTATAAAAATTGTAATCCTATTAGTCTAATTCTTCAAGAAATCAATTAAAATAAAAAAAAAATTTTTTGGCCCAATGCACCCTTTTGCTGTGGGAGATCCCATATATTGGTGGCTGTGAAACAGGTATGGTGTTGTTGGTATCAAATTCTTGCAATTCTGGAATTTTGCATTCGACTAATTTTGCTTTGCCTGTATTATAAGTATTGCTACTTTCTGCTTTCTTATTCATATTCATAACAGTCCTGGTGGTTGTTCATGTATTGATTCAGGTGGTTGTTCATGCAATTGTCCCAGCAATGATTGTTGCAATGGTCCTGGTGATGATCGTTGATTTGCTGATTTTTTATTATTTGAAAGTGGAGGCGCTAAAATAAAGCCATTAATAAAAAATCAACATATATTAAAAAATATAATTTAATAAAATAAATACCTTCATCATAATCGTCTTTCTCGAAATCTAAATAGTTTTTTGCATCCCTAGGAAAATAGTTGAATTTTTCATACAGAATATCGTCAAAATCCAGGGGAATTAACATTGACGTATTCCTGAGCCTCTGGTCATCGTTCGGGCTGTTGTAAGCCCTAATTCCCTCCCTGCTACGATGTCCAGAAAATATCATATGCTCATCTTCTGGGATTTCTAAATCTTTTAGCTGTTGAATTGCTGTACGTCGTAGTGAATGATTACTGATTTTGCAGCCATTTTCCAGATTGATGCCCGTGAGTTCTGCAACTTTCACCATCATTGTATTTAATTTATTGATTCCCATCCGAGTTTTTTTGAACCAAATGCCTTTTAGAATATCTACCAAAAAAAAAACAATCAAAAATCAATATTAATAATAAAGATCATTAAAAATGTAAATCACAAAACAAGCACAAACAAACGCTTTAAACCCTTTGACGCCCATGTTGTTTCCAGAAAAAAAAAATTATATACACCCATGGGACGTAAAGATATCAAATGCAAGATATCTTGAATCGGTTTAAAGCGATTATTAATATTGTCAGGAGGGATTGGAATCTTTCTTGCAGAACTTTTCCCATATTTATTTCGTTTCAAAGCCCCGCGTTGGTTATTCTTTTCGTGATTAAAAGTAAGAAACAGACCACCATCATCACGACGAGATATATCTTTAAAATTTATTCTTTCGGCATCACCTCCACGAAGACTACACAAAAGTGATAGCCAAAAGAAAACTCGTCGCACCAACCCTTCATTAGTATCCACCTGCATATTCTCATGATCAAGAATTTGAATAATCTCTTCAGCAGTTAGTGGAGATGCTTGATCCGTTTCGCCCAAACCCACACTTTGGAGTTTTTTCATTTTACCATCTAAAGTCCTCAATGCTTTACCAAAATGGTATGAATCCCATAACTTACAGGGCTTGATTTCACTATTCTCTTTTAGGTGACGAGCTATAGAAGTGTAGCAGTTGTGAATACTCTCTGCTTTATAGTCATTTCCATCCAAACGCTTCAACCAGGCAATGAATCTACAAAGAAAGTGTTCCAATTCTGTTGTTGTATCTATTTTTTCGATACCTGTTTCATAATTAATAGTCTTACGAAATCTATCGACTGAACGCAACTACTTCGAAGTACACTTGTCAGTGTTCTCTACATGTGACATTTGTTGCAATTCCAAGACATTTTCTTCGGTTGGAGCGACATTACGATTTCTTTTGCCCATTTTGCAAAAAAAAAAAGATCGATAAGGTTAGAAGTCGATCGATCTAAAACTGATTACTAAAATAAGAAAGTCTAAAAAGGGAAGTTTATTTGATTACGTAGGCGCATGGGTTGTTATGTCATACCCATGAAATAATCTAGTTATTTAATGAATATCTATGGATACGAGGTATTTCATAGAATAATAGTAAACCACATGGCCAAAGGCCACGTGATTTTATTATTATTCTATAAAATACCCCGTATCCATAGATATCCATTAAATAACAAGAATTTATTGGTAGCTAGAGGATGACAAGCAGTACCATTTTTTATCTTTTCCTATTTTATTAATATTAATAATATTAGAATTAATTTAAATATATTTAAATAA